CCCTTCCCCTTTTAGTGCTGGGAGCTAGCCAACCAAAACACCCCACTGAATGTTAGTAAGGGGGCAACAGTCCCCTTATATAAAGAAAACAATATAAAACCAAACAGTTCTTAACAGGCCACCAGGTGTCCTGGTGACCAGAAGTCTGACCTGTCAGATAACAATTTTGTGTTTAGGATTCGGCCATTATAAATTCAAGCTGGCAACCAGACTCGGTCTTTGAGCTCCCAGTTTTCACGAATGGTGAGAAGGCAATTACCACACAGCACCTCAGAGCCCTTTAATACAGCAACTAAGTGGATATAAAACATCACTTACTCCAGGCTTGCTGCGGAAATTCCTAATCCAATCCCAGCCGACATCTTGGTAAAGAAGACGTATGAAGAATAAAAGATGGTTTCGGGTCCCTTTGCATGAGGATTCAGCAGGCGAAAGTGATCAACTACATCGGGCAACATTGACCTGCAGACCAGCAAGAGAAGAGGAGTGTAAAAGCCTCAAGCGGAAGTTTCTGAGCCTCTTTAATATAGAGTTTACAGAGTCTTTTTTCTTGAAGGTTTGATTTGTGGAATTAATTGTGCAAACGAGATCATTTATTTTTTATATGATATTTAGGCTGAGAATTACAAACAGAGAAAGTCAGATGGCAAAGAACACAGAAACAGAAAAGAAGATATTAACTCTGCACTGCTAGGTCAACAGACCGAAATTAGTAATGGTAAAATTTGCTGACTGAGGTGGAACATTTTTGCGGGAGGCACTTGTTAAAACATTTGCAGCACACTGCTGTGTAATTTAACTACTAAACAGAAAACCTTCTTTCAGAGATGAGTTTGATGACATTTTAATTTACTACTTCTGCAGGGAGCTAGTCAAATACAGAAAGTTATACTGTTTGAAAGGAGGATAAAAAGTTTTAATAGGAAATGCATGACAACAATAGTTCACAAAGTTGTAATCTAGTAAGCGAACAAAACCGCAAGGTAGAATTTTATTCACATCGCCTGGTTACAATATTTACCTCTTTTTTAAAGTAATAGAAATGGATTTAGTTGGGGATTGGTCCTGCTTTGAGCAGGGGGTTGGACTAGACGACCTCCTGAGGTCCCTTCCAACCCTGATATTCTATGATTCTATGATAATAGAAAGGTACAAAAATATCTGAGTTAGATATTGGGTGATTGTGAATCTATGAGAAGCCCTATCATATAACTAACTAGAGTGCATTAACAAAGCAGCAGTGTTAGGACACTAAACGAGCCTATTCTCCCACTGATGCAGAGGATTTAGAGCTGCTGACCTAAAGTCAAAGCCCCGGAATACCCACGGAGTCAGCACCTATGCCTGCCCCTGTAGCACACTCCTGCATTTGCTCTCTCCATCATAGGGCTGCTTTGTAGGGATCTACAGCTTGGTGCAGGCTGCCCATGCTACATTCTTAATTGTTTAGCATTAATTGATTTGTATGCAATTTCCAATATAAATTCTAGAGTACTATTAAAAACTAAATCTAAATGACTGATTGATTTACTATTCTCAGGACGTCTAGACACATGTAGGTTACTAATTAATGTATGAATATTTTCAGAGAGCATTTACATTTACACATATGTACACACATACCAGACATTAACAGTTGACACGTGACACTGATTACAACATAGTTATCACAGATCTCTCCTAGTCTAAATATAGGGAAAAACTCTAATTTCTCAGATACCACTGGGTGGTAAGGATGCCAAATTCTGAGTGTTTACATGATGAACTCCACACAGTACACACACATACGCACTTCAAACATAAGATTTGCCTACCATGGCAACAGCAAAGATGCTGCAATACTCAGACCAGAGACAAAGGCCACCACGTAAGCCAAAACCAGATTTGGGATTGTAACCAGCATGACCGCAAAAGGAATCATCCACTAAGAGAGGGAAAGACGAACCAGAAGAAAAATGGTAGATAAGGTATATGAAAAGTATATGGCATACAACGGAAAATATATTTTTTCACACAGAAGAGGCAGCATTGTGAAACAGCAGTTTATATATTGCTATGGTCCAACAAAGCTTAAAGCGTCAGTGTTGTGAGAGAACGGTCAGGGCCGGCTCTAGGATTTTTGCCGCCCCAAGCAAAAATAATTGTGGCCGCCCCCCGTTTTTTTCTTACCCCACCCCCGGCCCCGCCTCAACTCCGCCCCTTCCCCAAATCCCCAGCCCTGCCTCCTCCCCCCAGGCTCTCAAGCCTAGGAGGGAGGGAGGGAGGAAGGGGGAGCAGCAGTGCACGAATCAGCTGTTTCGCACGCCGCGGCCGCTTGGGATCTCGCCCTCCTTCCCAGGTTTGAGAGCCCGGGAGGGAGGGTGAGCAGCGGCGCGCGAATCAGCTGTTTCGCGCGTCCTGGCGCACGAGCGGCAGCAGCAGAGGTGAGCTAGGGAGGCCGGGGCACATTTTTAGGAGCGGCAGGGGCAGCATTCTGGCGCCGGCCATGCCTTCCCTAAAAATGTGCCGCCCTAAGCACCAGCTTGTTTTGCTGGTGCCTAGAGCCGGCCCTGAGAATGATGCTCCCACAGGGTCCTAGTTCATTACTTAACTTAGCAAAAGGGACTAGAGCTCTGCAGCGGAACTGGGATCCCACAGGTCCTGCAGGCCCACTGCCATAATAGCAGGAGTGGGTAAAATGTACTTTGTTGTGGGTGGGAATGGGTGGGCAAAATCCCAGACTAGTAATTTGTGGGAAAACACAATCTTTTTTTTTAAATAAACGTTTTAATACTTAACTTTAAGTGAGGGGTAGAAAGAGATTTGATGTCTATTATAACAAGAGTTAAAGTATTGTTTACATGGTTTAAGCAAGATTTGTGGTTTTTTTAGTGGTAAAAATTGTGTCTGAATTCTGTTTATATATCTATATATCTATATATCTATATATACACATACACATACACATATAAATATAAACCAACTGTTTAAAAAAATCTGTCTCTCTTTCAGGATTTGCGGGATCTAAGATTTTTGTGGGTGGGAGCAGCGTAAAAATGCAAGAAACAATGAGGGTGTGGGTGGGAGTGGGAGTGGGTACTGCACAGCAAGACAGGAGCGAGATTAAAAAAAAATAGTCCTGCGCAGGGCTCTAGAAGTGACAATATTTTAGAACAGAACAAGTCAGCCGGTGCTGCCATCTCCCCTTTATTTTCAACAACAGGAACAGTTCCCGTACAGACAAGGCACTGCAAGGGGCTTTGAGTCATGTCTGGATTTAAAATAACCCATTTCACAGGTGAAATCAATTACTGATTTACAAGGAGCTATGGCACACTTTGGTCTTCAGTGACTTTTTCAAAAACCTGGATACTAAGTATAAATAACGAACATTAGGAAGGCAATATGGTCTAGTGGCTAGCAGTAGGACAATTTACCCCACCACCTTCCCCATGTCTGTCACTGACTCGCACTATAACCTCGGGTAAATCATGAAGGCCCACATTTCCAGAATTGGAAATCTAAATTTGGATGACCTGGATTTGATTTTCAGAAGTGCTTAGCATCTTCGCTTCCATTTGAAACAATGGGCTAATAAGAGTTAGAGACTCCCTCATTTAAAATGTGGACTCAAAAGCCATACTCCTCAGTTGTCCATACCAGTCTTGTGCTATCACCTCACATTCCTGTAAATAATTGACACAATGCGTCACAAAGCACAAAGCTGAGGTCTGCAGAAAATGTAATTTATGTTAAATAACAAACATTTAAAGCTTCTTGGGTTTGTGTTGCTCATTTTGATTCTCTGCACTATATTTGAGGCTTGGGGAGGCTGAGGGCATGAGCAGAGAACTTCAGTGAGGGTGTTTCTACTTTGCGCTTGTTATTTATTTCTTCTGCAAGGAAAGCGGTGATCTTGGACATCTTGCCTGCTGGGGTCTAATCCATTTAAACAGGGGACACTTGTCTTACATTTTAAATGCAGTTCCCATCTGAGGAACAGGCATTTGTTGGTAAACCCAAAGGAGTAGCAAGTTCCCAGCATAAACAGCCTTTGCATTAGCCTACAATGCTTGTAGCACAATCATTACTTCACCACAAGAGAGCACTCCAGCAATACAAGATCATACATTGCCTGCAAACAATTTGACGATTAACTCTGTGCTCAACGTTGTGTGCCCACTCGGGAGCCAGAGCATCCAGAGAGGTTTTTAAATCAATAATAATACTGATTTAAAATTGATTTTTCTAGTGAGGAAGGAGCATGACCCAGGACAGGCAGAACTGAAATGGTAATTCTCAAAAGCATCTCTTGTGCAAAGGCAGATATGTGGGACCAGAGTTCTCTAAGCTGCAGAAAATATCACTGCAATAAGCATCCCATGCATCTCATTTTTTCTACTTCTAAAACAAAAGGACCTTTAAATCCTTAGGTGATCACTCTCCCCCTTTCACCTGACCCACCAGGAGCAGTAACGGCAATATTCTAGTGTCAAAACATGCCTCCCATCCAGAAGAACTTCACAAACTATTGACAAGCAGCACTATGGAAATGGAGCCACCTGTGGCCGAACGGTAGTAACCTGCATAGCACAGTGGGACAGAGGGAAGGGAAATTTTGGCCAAGAATGTTGGAGCAATCCTTTACAAAAAGAACTGCATGAGATCTTTAACACCCACGTGGAGCAGAAATGGCCTCCATTTTTTAAATATCTACCCAAAAAACTATGCACCACACATAACTCAATCTCTTTACCCCAGATGGATGAAGGGCTGGGTTAACTCTAGTGAGGTTTAAACCTGTAGTTCCAGGAAATGTAGATATTATAGACCTGGTGTTTAGACCACTAAGCCACCCCCTCAACCAATTTAAACATGAGGAGGAGTGGTAAAAAAGGAGTCTACATCCATCATCTTGAATACAAGAACTATACTATAATGCTGAGTCTATACAGGTGCTCAGTTTTTCAGGTAACCATCCCATTTTCAAATCACCTCAGAGAAGTCCCTCTTCCCTTCACCCTGAAGGGGGCTGAAATTATGGCGGGAAAACCACCTCTCTTCAGATTTTTTTTTCAGAACCTTCTACAGTGACAGAAATACAGTTGCAATTAATGAGGCAATTCTGCTTTCACAGTGACAGTGAGCAGATATAAGAGCTACAGGTTCTCTTGAGCTTACGGCGAAGGAAGCCTTTGGGATGCACTGCCAGACAAGAGACTTTCACCGAGCAAACAGGAAGTACTCACGCCATACGAGGGTGTGTCTACATGGCAAAAAAGGTGCTTTCTTCAATCCAGCTCCCTCTTAGTCTGCAACACAACTAGCTAACACAATGGTAAAAG